CAGAGGAACCTGATTGTTTCACAGATTATCTGTCTCATGTTCTACTGTCAGGATATAGTGAAAGTTGGGGGGCTAATGTCAGCAAATATATTTTTACAAAAATTACCTGCTGCAGCTTTAATTCATTCATTCACACAGTAATTCAATTATAAATTTAGTCATTCATTAACTAGCTGAACTGAGGCATACGTATAAGTAAGTAAAGCAATTAAGACTAGGAATTAAATTATTCTGATATTTGAACCATTTTGAACATTTCACACAACTGCACTCATTTTTTAAGAGACTATATCAGCCAACTTAGTATTTTATTTTTGGAAGCTTTGTTAATCTTATTTATTTCATGTTTTACACTTTTCAAAAGTGTTCAGGCTGCTCTGTTGATAAGTCTAGTATCTAATTAAGTAATATCCTACATTGAAATCTTGCAGATATATAATATGGATAAATAAAATTGATTAAATGGGTTAGATAACATAATTTTTTTTTACATTTGGACTTGGATATTGTTTAGGTGAATATATTTATTTATTTTTGCAGCAATTTTAATTGTAGTTGGTTGTTGTTTCACGTACCAGGTCCCCGTTCATTCTATTGTTTTTGTTTTCTTGCACATGTATGTATTTACACTAAGTCTCACATCTTTTCTCTTCTCTGTTGTTTTGCAGCTCTGGGCATTCTGCTCATTCTGCAAATCGGTAAGCATTAGTTTTGTAGGACAACAGGCATTGACTCTTCTTTACACTAATATGATCAAAGCCTCCAAACAAACACAGGTGCACTTAAAGTCTCATTGCTGCTGTCCTACTGTCCTCCATCAGCCTCATCCAATAAACTGGTGTGCCACATGACCAACTGGGCCCAGTACAGGCCCAGCAGTGCCAAATTCACACCAGACAACATCGATCCCTTCCTGTGTACACATGTCATCTATGCACTGGCCACCATCAACAGCTTCAACCAGATCAGCCCCATTGAGTGGAACGATGAGCAGCAGTTCAGCAGGCTCAACAGCCTCAGGAATGTGTGAGTTAACACAGCCAATAACATTTAGCTGATGTGGCTTTTTCAAGACTAACAGTACAGACAAAATGTCTTCTGCCAGTGTCATTTGACTGAATGGCATTTAGAGCAATATATAGATAACCATTTGTAGCCTGGAATCCTGTTTTTAAGTCCCAACATTTTAATGCACACACTAATTAGAAAGGTGTCAATTATGTCATTTATGTTCTATTTTCAAAATCATGAAGGAATCTTCCAATTAAATACAAAGAAATAACTACATACATACATTTCCAGCTCCAATAATGTTTTATAGCAAAAGTATATCAAAAGAAAATCCTAATGTGACCACTGCTTAATACTTTTCCAAATATCATTTAGAATATCATGAGGCCAGGTTTAACATTAATATTACATTATTTTTTTAATTATTATTATTAATATTATTTTTAAAAGCTGTGGGGAAACTTTGCAATACATTAATGACATATTAATGAGAAATACAGACTGCACTATTTCATATACAGAATTGGCAAAGACATAAAGACAAGATTTTTTTAAAGTAGTTTTCTGTATATGGGTGTCCATGGATAATCTGACTGTGGGAGATGGTATGTTTTGAAAAGGGCAGGTACCTTATACATTTTTATTAAACATTGAACATAATTGGACATAAGCACATAGCTTGAAACTTGGGAGTAGACTTCCATTTTTTTCACAGCTTGCGAGATAAATGTCTGCAACAGAGAAGAGTGTTAAGTCTTTGGTCATAAAACTACTGACGTCTTTCTGTAGTCTGTGTCTTTTTTTTTCTATCACAGTTTAACTGTAATAAATCAGTCAACATAAGTTAAAAACTTCAGTGGGTTAGGTGAGTGAAATATAGCATTATATCATCAGCATATGTTTGACCAGAAACTTTGTGTTGTTCGATGATATGATGATTACATTTAAGGTTATGTTTGTAACTCTCTCTCTCTGCTATTAGCAATCCTGCACTGAAGACTCTGCTGTCTGTTGGAGGCACCGTCAATGGACTGAGCCCGTAAGTTCAAATCTTACCAAAGTTCTCACAGTCTTCCTCACACATTCAACACAGAAGTCAGAAAACCTTCCTCTGTGACTGTATTACCATGTTTTATACATCCCACCAGATTCATCGCCATGGTTGCCAAGCCTGAGAGTCGTGCAGCTTTTATCAGGTCGGCCATCAGCTACCTGCGCACCCATAACTTTGATGGGCTGAACCTTGCCTGGGAATATCCTGGACACAATGGCAGCCCATCGGTGGACAGGGAGAGGTTCACTTTGCTGGTCACTGTAAGCATGGACCTCATTTTTCAATAGTTTTTGTAAATTATTGGTGTACACCAGTGTTTTCTCTGCTATTCAATAGGTGTGGTGCCTAAAAGCCATTACTGTCAAACTTTGATGTGATTATAGCATTTAAAAAATTATTTTAATAGTTTAATATTAAAAAATAAGGCAATCAGGCTAAGAAATTGCAATCTATTTAGCGTTCAGTCTTTATGCCGGATCTATGGGGGCACGTGCATTGTTGTCTTCCACACAGTGGCTTTAAATCTCAAAACCTCCCGCTCATTGAGGCTACAACATTATTTAGATATATAAAAGATTTACTCAGTTCTACTTGTTGATTCTGACTAACAAATTAATGGACAGCCATCATTCTGGTGGGGAAATTAATGTTTGTATCAAATTTCATGACAATCCATCCAATAGTTACAGTAGTACATTCACCCAAAACCACAAATGTCAACATCATAGTCAAACAACAAAGTCAGTAGGATTAATCCACTCAAGAAACATCTGTCCAAGTTTTGGTGCCAATCCATGTAGCTGATATGAGATACTGTATTTCACTGGATAAGAAAAAACTTTCCACTGCTGGTGGCACTAAAATAAAATATATCAACCTCATGGTGGCTCTGTAAAAAAAAAAAAAAAGAATCAGCACATTGACTTGGGGAACATGAATAAAAGTCTTTACAAAAACGTCATGGCAATCATCAGTATGTGTTGCGATATTTCAAGTCTCAATCAAAATGGAAGCTTGACCGACCAACCAATTGACATTACCATCCAAAGAGCCACACCACTAGCATGACTAAAATCATGGTATATCAATGTTTTTTGTTCATTCTGCCAACAGGAACTGTCCAAGGCCTTTGAGGATGATGCTAGAGACAACAGGAAGACTCAGCTGCTGCTGTCAGCCAACGTTGGTTCTTTCCGTCCTACTATCGACAGAGCCTACGAAGTCAACAAGATTGCAGTGTAAGTTTGTTTTTACTGAACTTAATGTATGTTTATGTTTATGTGTATGTTTTATATCCAAAAAAGTATAATTGTTTTGGTGCTGGCAATTTCTATTGATACCCAGCCCTACTTACTGTGAATGACACGTCTGTCATTCACAGTAAGACTGGAATGTCTTGCTCAAGGATGCTGGAAGGAAGAACTAAACCAGTTTCACCTTTGTAGTTTGCTAAATAATGTCCTTCACTAATGGCGACACTTCATCTACTGCCTATCTAAAAAAAACCTTTTAAAATCAACAGTCATCTTGACTTCATCAATGTCATGACCTATGACTTCCATGGACACTGGGAGGCAGCTACCGGACACAACAGCCCACTGTACCGCAGCTCTGTGGACTCTGGCTCACACCTTTATCACAATATTGTAAGATGCACACAAAGACACACAACACATAGACACCTGAAAACAACACACACTTCACGACATTAGTTTATGTGTATATTATTAAATTGTCCATAATGCAGTTTAAGAGGCTTTCTCTCACTGTTATGAACCACAGTTAGGGTTGCTACACTAAATATAGTTTCTGCTCAAAGCTGCATTGACCACTAGGGCACAGAGAGTCTCACAAAAACTCAGGACAATGAGCCTTGATATAATATTAAATATAGATATCAAGTTTTGTTAGCTGACTGTTTACTTACTAGGGTTGAGTGAGTGCCTGTCTGAAACAAGTATCCAGTACAGATTTTGTACTTTTATATCAATTGCAGGGTTAACTTAACAACTTCCGTTTAAGCACGGCCTAAATTATTAATGAGTATGAATACAGATTATTTAGTCGGTTGAACAGATACAGATAATGGTGAACATGCTTACTACTTACATATTCAACAGCCCCAGAGTGACATTAGCATTAATTTGGAGTCAAGTCGGATACTCACTTCACTCCCCTATTTAAATCGAGTTGTCCATCAACCCCAAAGGAAAGCATATTAGGACTTGTTTAGGACTCGAAGCTCAAAGTTTGAGACTTGGGACTTGACTTGGTGCTCACCTGACTTGACTTTGGGACTTGTGACTTGCAAAACAATCTTCTTTGTCCTTTTTGTTAGAACTCTTCTATAGCCCATTGGCTGGCTCTGGGAGCACCATCTGAGAAGCTGCTGCTGGGTTTCCCCACCTACGGACGAACCTACCGCCTTAGCAGCGGTGCTACTGATCTTGGAGCACCAGCTAACGGGCCCGCAGACGCTGGACCCTACACTCGCACTGCCGGCTTCTGGGCCTTTTATGAGGTAAAACACATGCCTAGTTCAGTTGTTTAAAGTCAACATATTTTCCCAATAATGGCTGCTGTCATTCTTTTGTCCACTGATGATAACTGTTGGAATGGTTATGTCAAATCTCACTCTTGGGAAGGTTAAGCCTCATTGGCACATGTCTGTAATTGAATAACCATCCTAAAAGTTACTGCTGCTCCTGTTGCTGACAATACTGGCATCTCTGCCTCTTCTCTTCCTCTAAAATGATGAGAAACTGACACACCTACCCATTTTTAATACATAACCTACATAACCATCAAAATGGATGCACAATACGCCAGGCAGCCATCATCCTTACGCAAAACACATATTTATAAGCAAGTATATCTCCAAAAGTACTGTAACATCACGACTCAACATCAACATGACTTGAGGTCATCTGCATTTGATGAATAAGAAAATACACGTCTGAAAAACTAATAATGCAAAATTATGAATGTAAAAATAATGGTGGAGTTTTCCTTTAAGTATTTATATCAGTGAAGATAGTAAACATTGCTTGCTGTTGTTGTTTATGTTTCCATGTTACCAGATCTGTGACTTCACCTCCAGTGCTACTGCTGGATGGATCTCTGAACAAGAGGTTCCTTACGCCACCTATGGCAGTTCCTGGGTGGGATATGATGACAAGCGAAGCTATTCTTCCAAGGTAACCAAGCGTGGCATTACTACCTGCAGTTCTAAAAATGTTATTAACCGATTCCAACTTTTGTGCGTTGTGATGAAATGTTCTTGTGAAGTGTTTTTGGAAGAGAAATATGTCTACAATATATGTCTACAGGTCTGTAGCTGCTGCTGTTTTAATCATCTTTGTTACTAATGTGGTCATGCTGTAGGTCCAGTGGATGACTGCCAACAACCTGGGAGGTGCTCATGTGTGGACTCTGGACATGGATGACTTTGGTGGATACTTCTGCTCAAGTGGAACTTATCCTCTAGTAAATCACCTCAGGATGTCAATGGGTAAATGCTGTGGCTCAGCTAACTTACAAAGCCATCTCCTCCCATCGTGATGGCTTTACTTTGTTATTAATCGATTGATCAATCAGTAGAAAACAATCTCAGAAACCTGACAATAATCACAATTTCCTTGATAAGTTTTTGATCAGAAGTTAGTTTCAGTTTTGGTGTCGTTTGTAATAAAGTGTCAGAAAAGGTTGGTTTAGCTCTGTTTATAATAATAATATTTGTCTGACTCTGCAGGCTTCGCCCCAAAGCCGACCACCACCCCAGCCCCCACCACCACCAGGGACCCCATTGCAGAATTCTGCCGTGGCCGACCTGATGGCCTGTATGAGAATGCATCTGATAAGACCACCTACTTCCAGTGCTTCCAAGGAAACACCTACCTGCACCGCTGCCAGCCTGGCCTCATCTACTGGGACTCCTGCAAGTGCTGTGACTGGCCATGAGTCAGTTAGAAACTTGTACTGATTAACCTGAGTTACAACTGGAAACAGAATTTGAGAAAATTGCTCTTTGCAGCTGGCTAACTGCTTTCCAAAACAAAATAAACAAAACAAATAAAAAAAACCTTAACATTATATAATATGATGAATGACATGCCAGATTTACTTGTACTTGTGTTGTATAAGAAAAGTGAACATTTTCATAATGTTTGATATATATTGTGAACTTTTAATTAATTACTTCAATACTCTGCTTTCCTAAATTTGTATTTCAATTAAACACTTAACTATATTATATTTTTAAGTAGGTTTTTTCATAGACTTCTGACAACACCTTCATTGTTGCATCATTGTGAAGGGAGTATAGTATAGTTCAGGCAGATTGGCATCAGCTGCTTACTTCACAACCACAATAACTGGATATAAGAAGATAAGAAGTTATAAAAGAATAAAATATCTTTATATATATATATATATATATATATATATTTTACAACAATTTAGTTTCTTCTGCAGACCTGATACTACTTGTTCTGATTTTTCCCTAAAGGTGAAGGTTTTCTTGATCTTTAGTTGGTTTCCGTAGTTCCTGGCTGGCTAAAATGCTGGGGGCCTATAGTGAAAAGATAAAAGCTAGATTTCATTATTTTATTTCACAAACAGTAATGTTAAATTGTAGTAAATAAACAGCAGTCTCTTTTTTTTCATTTTGAGGTGAATCACTCATTAGTGAGTCATGAACTATTAGGTATTCTTGATTCATTCCTCACCTCTTCCGTGGCAAGGTTTTTGTTTATGTTACTGTGAAAACTGTATAATTGAATTTATGAGGAAAAGTTTCATTTTGGATATAGTGACGAGATGACGAGAGGCCTTTTCAATTCAATTAAATTCAAGTCATTTTATTTGGCGACGGGGGCAAGGAAAAACTGCCTTTTAACAGGCAGAAATCTAGGACAGACCCTTCGGCTCTAGATGGGTGGTCAATCCTTCACCTCTAACCTCAAGATCTGTGAATGAAAAGGGTTCGATGGGTATCATCAAGTCTGCAGACACTATGCTATTCCTATGCAGTTTTCAGGAAAAAAAATCATCTGTTGCATCCATTATAAATGTTTTTTTCGTCTAGTCTATTTGAATACTTCTGCAAACTCACTTCTGTCTCAGCAGACAATTGTATCTGAGTGTGGGCCTTGTGGCATTAGAGCTGAATGATGTTACCATAGAGGCAGCAAAATGAAAGTGCTTACTTTCAGCTCGGCCGATATGACTCAACATCTATTCTATTCTCATTTTGTCAGATCTGGACCTGAGTCTGAGTCCCACAGGGAAGGTTCTGAAGACAATAGGGGACAGCTTGTCTGTGAAGATGGAGAAGATTGCCTCGGGTGACGCTACAGTGTCGTGGACAAAGGTAATGGTGGCGTCAAAATGTAGAAGGAGTTTGGAAGAACAGGAGGATTTTCTCCACTGCCTATTTCATTTTCTTTAGCTAATAATTAAACCTGACTGCAGAAGCTTGTATGCACTGTGAATAGTCACAACTGTGACCCTGATGATTTCTTTTTCCTTCAAAGCCCTCAGGAGCTAATGGTAGCATCAATCCATTTATTCTACACTGTGCGTCTGACAAGCTAAACTGCAAAAACAAAAAAGAAAACACATTATGATGCATTAATAGACAGATCTGGAAGTGTTCTTAAAGGGACACTGTTGTTCAAAGAAATCCTAGTAAGATATAGTTGATATATTGTGTCAGTTCAGTCTAGTGTAAAACATAAGGAAAAGTAAGATCAGGCGATTCTTGAGTCTGGGTCAGCAGTGAAAATAGGATAAAGGTAGATATGAGAAAAAGACAGTGATGAAACACTGAAGACTAGATAACACTGTCATCCCATTTATACTTTCATTTGAGATTTCAGTAGCTCCACATATTGGTTTCTGTTTTTCCCCATTGAGTTCTGAAATGAGCATTCCTGTGTGACCCTGAACAGGAGAAGAGGGTAAAGAAAAATAAAACTTGCATTCATAAGTTTGCTTCAGAAGACCCAGACTGACATTGTTGCTCTGGTTTTCAGAATGGAAAGGCAGTGAAGGAGCCAGAGTTCAGCAAGTTGAGCTATGCTGATGCAGGAATCTATGTATGTGAGGTGTCCTTGATTGGACTCACACGACGCCAGAGCTTTGAACTGGTCGTAGAAGGTGAGTAAATGTGTGTCATAAGCTCCAGCAATGTATTTTAAGTATCATATTCAAAAAGTTTGGTGGAAACAAAATTGAAAGACATTTCTTAATTTCGCAAATTAAGTGTTTGCTCTTAAAAAGGTCCAGTTTGTAACATTTAGGAGGCTCTGTTGGCTGAAATGGAATATAATATTCATAGGTATGTTTTTATTAGTGTA